TGGCAGTCCCCCTGGCCAGGCCTGCCTTCCTGCAGTGTGCCTTGGCCGGTGAATGCCCGGTGGGAACCTCTCTACTAATTCCTTTCCACACCTTTCTATTAGAGTTTCAATATGCAGTGTCCCCACCAGGTCATGTATTAGATGTTTGCCTCTGACCTGGTGGTGCTGGTTTGTGGGGGTACTGAGCACTTTAAGAGGAACTTAGTTGAAAGAAGCAGGTCATGTATTTGAAGTTTGGTTTTCTATAGTTTTCTTTCTTCACGCCCTCCATGAGCAAAATGGCCGGTCACATGTTCCAGCAGCCAGGATAGTCTGCCCAAGTTTGTAGGGCCAGGCAATCAGGGATAGAACACACAGAAAACACCAGCAAATAATTCTCCCCTTCCTAAAGTTGCTTCTGTCAACTATTTGGTCAGAGCAGTTTATAAATAGACCTGTGGAATAGTGCTAGTATGATCCTGATCTCCCAGGAGTTGCCAAGGGATGGAAAATCAGCTGGCAAACTGAACAGGGTTGGGGAATGGTGAGGTCTAGAGGGGCAGGTGGTCTTAGAGAGTCTTGTAAAGCTCTTTATAAGCTGACCTCAAGTTTATCCCAGAAGCTCGGGAGACCACACTATGAAAGGACCAGGGGAAGTATGCAGTTTGAGCAGGGAAATATGAGTGAGTAGGGGCTCACCAATTGAGTAGCCAGAACCTACCTATTCACTCACAAGCTCTGAGTCTGCATGAGAAGCCCTGGGGAGGCAGGGAGTGACGACAGTCCATGAGCGTTGGGCTTTGGCCCCTTCCTTTCAGCTCAAGGAGGTGAGTCATCCAGAGGCACTGGCCCAGATTGCACCCTCCTCTGCCGGAGACTGAACTCCATGGTCCAGAGGATGTACCCAGAGGATGGAGACCACAGTACAGTGAGTGAGTCACAGGGCTGAGTCACAGCCCACTCAGCCCCTTTCGGGGCTCTGACGAAGGCTGTGCCAGCACAGCAGCAGTCTGCTCACACGCGCACACACACACACACACACACACACACACACACACACACTGATGACCTCATGGCATGCTTCTCGTGACTGATAGCTTCACTGATTTCACAGGTTCAGTGAATATTACTGCATCTGCCGCACAATGAGCTTCCCTCACTCTCACACTTAGTCACTCACCCACTCATTCATTCTTTCTCTGTCCAGGCACTGAGCTAAAATCCCAGCCCTGGCTTTTATGGAAAGCTCCCAGCAGCAGAGGATCAGGTCCCTCCTGACCATACCATGGCAGAGGCGTGGGCAAGGAGCAACAAGAGCTCCTTGCACACCTCAGCCTTCCATCTCACCCAACACCCAACAAGACAGCCAGGCTGGACATGGGCCCTCAAAGTAGGGATGGGTGGAGTACACCGCACCCCAGGACCCCCAAGCCTGTACTATTCTACTTCCCAGAAGGGACACCAAGCCAAAAGGTTGTATCTATACAGACCCAAACAACTTGGTTTTCTTTGAATGACACACAGGGCTACATCGTGAGATCTGTATCAAATGAGTTAGCTGATTATCAGGACCGAAAGAGACAGGGACAAAGCTCACTCAGTACCTGCGGCTTCTTCCCAGCACTTCCCACTCCCCCCTCCCCTCACACACACTAAATCTCTCCAGCCCAGGGGCTTTGATCCCCTTCCCCAACTCCTCATTCCCATATAAACTTGCATTTCAGCCACGCTCTCTTGGTCCTCCAGGTCCTGGCTCCTATCTGGGTCTGCTTGTCCTCTCTCCTCTCTTTTTCCCAACTCCCCCATGCCCCCTTTTCAGACTGGCTCAGTCTGCAGGTCTTGTTTAGTCCACCACTTTCTCTGCCAAGTCTAGATTCTTCCAGGTGCCTCTGGCTGTACTCTCCCTCATATCAACAATAAAAGCCTAATAATAAAAAATAAAGTCACAGAGGAGAAAGGAAGTTCAGTACTTTGATGACTCCCATCTTTTTCCAATCTTAAATGTAATGTTTACTCCAGAAATTAACCACATCACAGCAAGACACAGAACCTAAACTAATGGATACAGGAGAAGTTCTAGTCTGTCTTGTCAATTTTCAGTGTGACTACTGAGTTGGGGCTGTTTATAAAAGAGGTACTGTCTCATTGTGCTTCCCAGCTCCTCTCCAAATCCCCCTCAGCCTCCTGAGTAGCTGGATTGTGTGTCTCAAGTGTCAGCTTGAGTTTTGACTATTAGAAAATACACAATACAGAGCTCAGATGACATGGAAGTCAGCTAAGTCCTATCTGACGTCTTCATTCTGGAAGTAGAAACTGGGGGCTAAAGAGATGGCTCAGAAAATCACGGGCTGATTTTCTAGGGACCAGGAAATCAGTTCCCAGCACTCACATGGCCGCTCACAACCATCTGTAACTATAGTCTGAGGGAATCTGACGCCCCCTTCTGGCTTCCAGAGGCACTGCACAGAATTATGTAGTGCACAGACATAATTCAGGCAAACACTCATGCACATGAAGTAAAAGCAAATAACAGTCATGTTGGGCATGGCAGTGCATGCATTTAATCCCAGCACTTGGGAGGCAGAGACAGGCAGATCTCTGTAAGTTTCCCTGAGCTGCACAGCAAGTTCCAGGCCAGCTAGAGCTAAATACTGAAAACTTATCTTGAAATAAATCTCAAAAAAATAATTTTTTAGAAGTAAAAGCTCAGATCTGGCATGATGGCTTATGCCTACGGTCCCTGAACTTTGGAGGTAGAAATAGAAGGATCACCACAAATTTGAGCCCAGCCTGGTCTATACAGTGAGGCCTATTGTCCTCTCCTCCAAAAGAGAATTTACTTCTTTGATAATTTCTATTTTCTATTCTATTTACTCCAGAAATAAAGCATATTACAGAAAGCAAAAGATACTACAGTAATCTCAATATACCAACATTAACTACACAGAAGACATTTGATATTATTTTTATAACTTCTTTTTATATAATCATAATCATATAGTATAAATAATTTCACATACTTTTTCATTTGTTTTCATGTTTTAACTATTGCTATCATGTTATTAGAGTCTTGTTATTTTGAATGACTGTAAATTCCATCAAAAAGAGGGTCTTAATTTTTTTCATGACTTATTTGACCATTTAAATCATGCCCCAGTCATAGGTATTAAAGGGCTACAAGTTGCTTTTTCACTTCTTTGTTTCTTTTGGCTCGATTCATAAATGGAGCTGGTTAGGTTTGGAAGTCAGGCCACGCATGTTAACCAATTGCTTTAAGATAATATTAAGTATCCTCTCATTTGTACAACAGAAGCCCATTGTCACAGCAGTTTTTTTCTTTTCATTGCCCAGAAAGGTTTAAAGGAAATAGCTTCAGTTTCATTATGTGATCCAAATGTTTATGTTTTTGCCCTCTGACCCATCATCACTGCCACAGAATTATGGTGACAACCATCAGTGTGTCCTGATGTCTGTCAAGATATAACTGGGGAATATGATGGGAACACTAGGAACTTTAAACAAAACATGTGTTCTAAGTCAGTGAGGAGGATTGTGGGAAGGGATTCCTTTTTGTTTCTTCTCAATTTAAGTCATTTTAGCTATTCAGAGTTAATAGGTATTACTTTAGTATAGTTTTTAAAAAGATAGGGGCTGGAGAGAAGGTTCAGTGGTTAAGAGGGAATGGTGGGAAACACCTTTAAACTTAGCACTAGGCAGAGACAGGTAGATCTCTAAGTTAGAAACCATTCTGGTCTACGTGGTGAGTTCCAGGCTAGCAGGACTATGTAGTGAGACTCTATCTAAAAAAAAAAAAAAAAAAAAAGGATAGATGGATGAATGACCATGCTAGGACTCAGGCCCAGGAAGTACGGCCTTCCTTCTCCAACTGAACTTGAACAGGCCTCTCAGCTTAGTGTTCTTTTTCTTTTTCTTTTCTTTTTAGATTTTACTTATTTATTATGTATACAGTCTTCTGCCTGCCTGCCAGCAGAGGGCACAAGATCTCATTCAAGGTAGTTGTGAGCCACCATGTGGTTGCTGGGAATTGAACTCAGGACCTCTAGGAAGGTCAGTGCTCTTAACCACTAAGCAATCTCTCCAGTGTGCTCTTTCTTGAACCAAGCTTCTTCTTGACTTAGTTTTCTGCTATCCAGTTTTTTTTTTTTTAAAAAAAAGCTGATTTTGCCTTGTTTCATTTATTTCTAAATCTAAGCATACATATGCTTGGAAATTTTCAACTTTTTTTTTTTTTTTTCTTTTAGATAGAGTCTCACTATGTAGCCCTGGCTAGCCTGGAACTCACCATGTAGACAGGCTTCTCACTTATCAACCTGTCTCCGCCTGGTGCTAAGTTAAAGGTGTTTCCCACCATCCCCTAATTATTTTGTGTCTGAACTACCACTGTAAAGGGGATCACAGAAGTTTCCACATTCGGAGGGTGCTGAGAGTTAAGAGGGGCAATGCTTTAAAGTCCTGGCCCTCACCATCTTTATACCTTGCCCATTGGCACATGCCAGCATGAGAAACGGAGGGACCTGGTTTGTCAAACCACACAGTCTGCCAGGGCTTTAGCTGTGAAGGGAGAGCCAGCCCTAGATTGCTTGCAACGTGTCTGCTTCCTCTAAAGAACTCCAGAAGCAGGGGCCCGAAACAAGGAATCCCGACCCTGCCTGCCATCTTCCTTAGACCCCAGGCCCTACCATTCTCCAAAGATGTGGGGAGGAGGCTGAGTGCTGGGTGAAGGAGAGAGAGCAATACAGTCAAGCAGGACTGGGTGGCCTTGAGTTAGCTGCTGCTAGACGGGGCTTCGACTAGGAAGGCACCCAAGAGCACCAGGCAGCTCCGGGCAGAGGCTGGTCCAGGCACCGAGGGCTTGGGGTGGGGAGGGGAAGGAGAGTGGAGGAAGAGTTTTGAGGAAGAGTGTGACGAAGGAGGCAGAAGGCGTTGTGTGGGAGGAGGTTGAAGGACAATGACAAAGAGGAGGAAGGTGGGGAGAGGGGAAGAAGAAAGCTGGGGGCGGGGTCCTGAGGGAGGGAAAGGAGACAAGTGGAACTCCTGGCCCTCCACTTTCCTTCTCCCTCCCCGGAAACATCCAGCCTGTGCCTTTGTGGCCTCTCGGGCTGGGTTGCAATCTCACGCCAACCCCGCTTGCTGGTTGTCAGGAGGCCCTCTGGGGAGGACGCTGCAAGAGCCTCAAATGCCACCTACTCCCGGCCTCTCTCCCAGTTGATGTTTCTATTTTGGGCACCACATTATTTCCTGCTGTGATTTTTTTTCAGGCTTCTAATTCGGGCTCTGAGGTAAGCCCTGACATCCGCTCGTGCCCGCGGCCCCCTCCCGCGCACGCTGCTTGTCCTCCCGGGGCGCGGGCACCCCTCGGTCCGGCAGCAACCCAGCCACAGTAGGAAGTCTTGGCAGGCCCTGCCTAAAAATAGGCTTTCGGGAGGAGGGATTTCCCCTCCCCCGCCTGGTAGGGCAAAAGGAGTCCAGCTAGTACAGATTTTTAGGCAAGGATTTGGGGGAGTGATGATGGGAGAAAGACAGGGACCTAGTATAAATTGTGCCATCGTGCCTAAGAATGGGGGACAAGCTGGAGATGCTTCAGTGTCAGTAATATTTAGCTCTTTTTGGACCAGGGCCCTTTAGAGATAAGGATGAAGACTGTGAACCATCCCAGAAAATGTCACTGGTAGACTCCTTGTGGTTTTAAGGTTGTACATCTCCTGGAGCTGGAGAGGCCCAGGTTAAAAGCCCCATTGGGTAAAAGATCCTGGGTATGCATGGGGGGCAGCTCTCCTTGATGGTTGCAACCTAACCTGACTCAGAGCTCCCTGATTCCTCTCCTCCCCTCACATCTGATATGTCTTATTATATTTAATCAGTATGTGCTTTTTTAAAGTCTCTGTCTGTGTAAGCGTGTCCAATGGAAGTGGATTGTAAGCTGCTTCCTCCGGGCAACAACAGCCTCCTGGAACTCCCTTCTGCTTTATTGCCAGGGCCTTGATGGTGTCTGGCAGTAGGAAGGACACTCATTGAATTGGGTTCTAGCAGACCTGGGATCAAGTTTAGTTGAGCGGGTTTTGCTTCTGTTATCCCTCCCTGACTTCTCTCTCACAATGGACTTGATAATGACACAGGTCATCCCAGGGAGGAAATGAGGGTGCAAGTAGAGGCATCTTTGGAATGTTCTTTGGCTTCTGAGTCACATGCACCTTGTTTGTTTCCTTTTAGAAGGCAATATCCAATGAGGGATAACACCTGGTAATATATTGTTCTGTAAGACCCCCGGAAGCTCAGGCCTCCAGGATCTCAGCCCAGGACCTCCGTCACTCCAATCAACAGGCTGAGTCGAAAGCTTGATGCAAACTGCATGAGGCTTTATTGTTGTTTAACGAGCTAACCCTATGTTAGCTAGGGTCTTTCATCCATCCACCATGGCGGATGGCTAGAAAAGACAACTCGAAGCATCTGCATAGAGATCTTGTAGGGCAGCGTAAGGGGAGTGTCTAGGGGTACACACAGGCTCAGGATTGGTGTGCCTCCAGGCTTGGAGGGTTTGCTCTGTGTTGATTGGCCAACTGGTTGTTATGGCCCATAGGCCCTCCCAGGGTGGTTGCTATGCTCTGAGAGTCATTGCTGTGCACTTGTCTGTAAAGCACACCCAGAGCCATAAAGCATAGCACCACCAGATAACTTCTGATTGGTTCCTTGTCACGAGGCAGGCACCTAACCTCCTAGTGACCAAGGCGAGGTCGTGGCAAGCACGTGTTACTGTCATGGCTGCCGAAACGGGGAGCTGGTCCCTTCAAATCTAGGGGGTTCTGTATTAGCCATCCAATGGACAAAAACAGGTAAACTGAGCCCAGATCAAGGAAGTGATACAAGCTATTTCTGGAATGTTGAATGGGGATCAGGGGCCCATCTCCAGGAAAATGTATTTGTGTCTGACTCTAGATCTTCCGTGTTTCCACAGGTATTCTTCCCTACCACTATATAGGCACCAATTTCTGTCTGTATCTCCTCCAGAAGTTCTCTCTGACACCCTTTCCTTTCTGGCCCTAACCCTCCACATTCTGATGGCCACAACTCCTGGTTTTGACTTACTATCTCCTTTGTTTTCCAACCTGGCCCACTTTAGTCTCCCCTCACTACATTAAAGAAAAAAAAAAAACAAAAAAAAAAAAAAACAAGAAATGCCCCTCATCAAAAAGCACACACCCATTATTCCACAGCCTAGTGGGACCAGGCAGGCCATGAAATGGGTAAGTGGGTAAGGTTTGTGGGGGGAGGTAGGGTACAGGAGAGGCATTTAGACTCCAGATGCCTCATCTAAAGGACACCTGCTAGCTCAGCTCCTCTGCATTTCAAACTGAAGGGACCAGCTCCCCATTTCGGCAGCCATAACAGCTTGTCTG